GAGATGTTGCATGTGTGAGGAATTTGCGATTTGATTATTGATTCTTATGTAAAAGTTCGCGAAAAATACGATGGTCTAGTGCTTTTATCTGAAATCAACTCCCAAGCTCAAAAAAAGCTCAAGTCGAAACCAAAATGGAGGGGATATCCCACGCTACCCTGAGAGTCCACCTCTACATCAAAACAAACTCTCCATGCAAAGATAGGGAGCAAATACATTAGCAGGGATGCCGTGTTTTCAGTTTAGGAGTCCTCAAATAAAGTGGCATCCCTGTCAATGTATTTGCTCCCTGTCTTTGCATGGAGAGTTTGTCCTGATGCAGAGGTGTACTCTCAGGATAGCGTGGGATATCCCCTCCATTTTGGCCTCAACTTGAGAGCTTTTTTTTAAAGCTTGGGAGCTGATTTCAGGGAGAACAAACCAGTGGCACCATCGTGTTTCTCGCAAACTTTTACATACGAATCAATGGTCAAATCGCAAATCCCTCACACATGCAACTTCTCCATTATGCTCCAGTGTGAGCGAGAGAGACGAGTTACCTTTGTTCGGAACCGAAAGTGGCACGCTGGTAGGATGTAGGAAGCGATGCTGTCATGACGTCATGACTAACCGAGTCCGTTACGATCGCGTAGCTCTCCACGGCGGATGAGTGGGGAGAGAGAGGGGGAGGGGGCGGCCTGATCCGGGCAAAAATCGAGAACAAACGCGGACGGATCAGGAGGCGGACAAACACCAACAGCCGAAGCCGAGCGGGTCGGATTAATGCGATGAGGGATGACTGTTAATCACCGACGTCCCTAATTTCCGCGACTAAACACCAACTTACGATCGCGCGATAAATCATTCGCCGTACATGCCCCGGCCCCGGGCCCCGACGGAGGGACAGTTATGTAACTGTCCCCGAAAAAGGGTCAAACTCCCCATGAAGCGTCACGAGTGCATGTTTGCAAAATTTGATTCGAATACGCCACCGGCGCACAGTGGATCGAGTCAATGGAAGAGGTCGGAACAAAATTTGGAAACTTTAAACGCTTATATTAACTCAGTTTATACAAATGTTTGAGGTTCTAAAAGTGGTTCCATTAATTTCCTCGTAAAATTTTTCGCTATTAGCCCCCTTGAAATTCAAAATTTGACGAAAAAAAGCTCAAATTCGCAGTTTTAGTCAAGCCCGACCTCTCTAATTGACTCGATCCACTGTGCGGCACGGCGCGGCGGCGCCACTCAAAGGAACGAACCACTATGGAAGGGGTCGGACACGGAATTTTTGGCTAAAATTTCAAATTTTCATGTTTATTCCGTCGCAAATTCAATTTCAAGGGGTGTTTTTGAAAGAAAATTTCAAGGGAAAACCAATTGAACCAATCTTGAATTTTCTTGCAGTTTCCAAAAAAAAAAAAAAAAAAAAAAAAAAAAAAAAAAAAAAAAGTAAATATGGCATGAAGTCTGCAAAGATACTAACGGAATTACGTGGTTTCGCTCTTTGGCCATTTACATGCGATGCTCCTAAAATGCCATCGTCCGGCGTCTCCAGTGAAAGTCCTACTTAAGCTCAAAGTTCGTTTTGTCAGTGCAGCGTTGCAGAGTATAAAATTTGTAATTATTGAGAAATGTCAATATTTCGAAGTCCCTCGGTCGACAAAACAATTTCAGTTGTGCCTTTTTTATTTTCTGAGGCACAGTGACATCAACTGAAGATGTGCCTCAAAACATAAAACGGAATAAACTTAAGTTGATTTTTTTGATATGTGATTGTGGACTTACGCCGTCGATATACACTTTGCATAGGTGTATTCCCAAAAGGAGCTTTGGACTTAATATAAACTTTAATCGGAGGATTGTCTTATCATAAAGTTTCATGTAAGCCACATTCGAACAAAATCCTCCAGTTCCCATAAAAAGGGACATAAAAAGGCCCTTTACTTGGGAGGCCCTTTTTCTAGTCGGTATATCTGACATTTTTATTGGAATATTTTCAAAATGTTTCGCATAAATAAATCTTTACAGTAGGGAAATTTTCAAATGTTTGACTCCTTACACGGCGTTTATCTATCCTAAGCATGGAAAAAAAACCCTGCGAGTTCTTTGCGTGACTCGGCAAGTTTGCACGCGTGGGGCACGGACGAAACAATGAGAGTTGAAAACAATGAAACAGGCACACTGCGACGATAAATGAAAACTGAAAGGTTGCGCGTTATCGGATTGTAGCGGTTCGGGCATCGGAACAAAACGAAGCTGCCAATCAATATGACGTCACAGTGTTTTGATACGACATCAGATGACGGATGGAGGGACGCAGAATGCACCAACAATAGTCACTCAGCCGCACGGGCTGGGAGGGCACATTAATGGCATCCGCTTTCGGGGAAAATAAAATAATAAGTTTTAAGGTTAAGTGCAGCAGTGGCGGATACAAAGAGAGATTTACTGCCGTGCTAGGAAGAAACAACGTATATACATTAAGACGTTGCCAAATTTCCATGGAACATGGGACCTCCTGTCTATAGAGCCAGTGCTACAACCACTACACCATAGGAGGCCAACTGCTCTATATACACTAAATAAAATAAAATAAATAAATGAAAAGGATATGGTTCTTTCATCTTCAGTTAAAGGATTTACGAATTTTTATGAATGAAAAATTCATTCCGGGGTGCAAAATCTCCTCAATCCTTCGACCCTCCGATTGCTGGCTCACGGAACAGAAATGGCGTAAAACGGGGTAGATCCGACTTAAAGAAATTACGAATTCTCATCTATTAAAAGAGCGTTTCGTGGTGTACGCGCAATGCGTGAAGTATTCTCGCAGTCTTGTAGGCGCTGATATGCATTTTGCGCCGATCGCGATTGCACTGTGTATGGCGCAACTACTCAAACTCGTGAAGTCAGCGTTTTTCAACTTGTTACTGTCGTACAGTTTTGCACAGCATGTATGGACTGTTGTCATTTACCATTACTAAAAATAATTGGAAAATAAAAATAAAAATGAAAAAATAAAATCCAACCAATTTTCTTCTCTTTACTTACATATTTATGAATAGTTGAGCGGCATAAGTTCTTTGGCAACGAACATTTCAGTGATTATTCTTCTGTACCTTAAGAATATTCGGTGAAAATTTCAAGCTATGATGTTGGTTTGGTCTTCTTTTAAAAAATGAAATAGAATCGTAGATTTCGAAATTCCTCAACCGAGAAACGCATTTTTGCAGTTTTACCGTCGAAATACCTCGTTTGGAAGACGATTTAAAAAACACTGTGAAAATCGGATGATTCGCAAAGAAGTGATGGAGAAACAAAAATACGGTTTTCGGATTTAAATTTTGTTTTTCCCACCAGATCTGGTTTTTCTAGGTATTTGTGTTTATTATTTCCCCCCTTGCGATATTACCTCTCAAAAATCTGTTCATTTATTCGTGTCTTTCGTGTTTGACAAACCCACCCAATGCTATAATCTGTTTTTTTATTTCTACTCTGAAAAAACGAAATTGCAGATTTAACAATTCTGCGATTTAAAAAAGTGTCCAGCGTGTTTCAATGTAGATTTTACAATAAAAAAATGCTAATTTAACCACCCCCATGGTTTAATTAGCTTTCCGCTATTGTAAAATGTACGTTTGAAACATGTCGAACATATTTTTTAACATTTTTTAATCGTTAAATTACAATCCATGTTTTTCTATGTATTACGTGTAAGTCAAAGAATGTAGATAGATGCAGAGAAACCGTATTTTGAATCTGATATCGGTTGATGCTCTGAGGTTTTCAAGCATGGCCCAAAACCCTAATGCATCGATCAAGGCCATCCCTAATGCAACTCGTAACCATCTTAGCCTAAGCCTCAGCATCAGATGGAAGTACTCAAATTAAAAGGTAATATCTCCATTGTGGCCTGAGCCGTGAGACCCATGAGAATACATGCATAGTAGAGTTCAAATCCCAATGGAATCGGTGCTTTTTGATCTGAATACGTCCAGGTGTTTGAACAATGAGAAGTTCAACGATCCGAACGGCAAGAGATTACGTTGTGGTAAACAAACGCAGAAACGCGGCAGTCGGTCCTCGGAATCAACTCAAAGTTGATAACCGATTGCGGAATCGACTCATTCCACCCACCGAAAATTCATTATTGACCGCCAACTTCAATTAACAGGGATTTGGTCACCCCATCCATTTTGCTAAAGATAATTAACAACAACCCCGCGGCCTCCAGTTTGCTCGGCCCTCATTTCGGGAACTTCTTTCAAACATTCAAGTTGATTTCTTGGTTGAGTGGACCCTCAGATAGCAAATGAATGCCTATTTAGATTTGCAATTAATACCTAAGCAGATTAGTTTATCTCGACCCAAAAGACTGCCAAATGCTCACAATCTACACGGACACGGAAAAAAATGAAATTGCTGATTTAACAATTAAATTGTTCGAAAATATGTTAGACGCGTTTCAAATGTACATTTCACAATAGTGGAAAGCTAATTTAGCCACGGGGGTGGCTAAATTAGCATTTTTTACTATAAAATTTACATTGAAACATATCGGGCACCGTTTTTAACTACATAATTGTTGAATCAGCATTTCATTTTTTCCCGTGTATTTCTCGCTATGTCGATCTTTTAAATCGGTAATAGATAGTGTCTTGCGACTTGCTTCAAAACTTCTCTTTTCTTTATTACCTTTTAAATTATGTATCACAAATGGAGGGGGGGGGGTCGCCATTTGAAGTATCCGAAGTACGATAGTAGAGTGGGGCCCAGGGCCCTATTCCAAACACATAATATGCAGAAAAGATTTCTTCATTCTTTCAAAAGATATTCAAGGTGGATACTTTTTTTTGAAGCACCACGTATACAAGTAGTAGAGCTTTTTTGGCAAAATGCACTCAAGCTGTTCTTTTTTCTTACTTCTGTCCATTGGTCATATTAAATTCATGAATTTATTTTCAGAGGTAACGTTTTTGTTTGAACCAGAATTTAATTTTTGTTTTATTTTCTGATTGTTTCAGGCTCTTCGAAAGCGAGCGAAAAAAGCAAGAGCGGTTCGGAAACCGCATTTAGACATGAAACCAGGCGTAGTGATAGAAAATGTTACACAAACTAGGCAATTAGCAGAAACAACATTAGGTACATCAGTCCTCCTTCCTAGTTCCTCCGTCCTTGAGGAGGGTCCAACGAATACCGGAAGCGGAAGTCAGGTAAGACGCGAATTTTTGTGTGTGCTTTTTTCTCGAGTGTGAAACAAATCATTTGATTTACATATTACTTACTTGAAAGACAACCGAAAGGCAAATGTAACTTCTTTATTTGCATGTGAATCATTGAAAAAGGTTATGTCATTGTCATCGTTTGAATCAAATTCGATACTACGCACTGAAAAAAAAATCTCGGTGTACTAACCAAGAAAAGGGTAAAATTACCGAGAATTCAGGGTTCTATTTGATCCCAGTTTTTTCTTGGTAAAATTACCATTTATGGAATTGGTAATTTCACCGAGAATCTCGGTAAAATTATTGACTTTCTCGGTAATTTTACTAATCCCCAGTAAAAACGCCAATAATTTTTATCGACTGTGGCAAAATTACCGAAATTAAATGGCAAAGTTACCGGGAATTGATTACCAATAAAAGTGGTATTCTTACCTGAAAAAAACAGTAAAAATACCGGTTTTTAGGTAAGCTTACCAGTCTGTCTTGGTAAAATTACCAATAAGTGATAAAAAAAAGTGAGATGGTAAAGGTACCAACGGACCTTGGTAAAAACGCCGAGAACGTTTTTTTCAGTGCGGAGAAGCCTTACGGTATACTAGTAGTAGCGTCTGTATCGTTTTTTGGACAGTGGCAGTTATCTGGGAACCCGAAGGAATAATGGATTCTACTTGGGTTCTCTCTCGAGTTCCCCTTTTTTGGGAATTTAGCGTATTGCGGCAGTTGTTGCGGGATAATTTCCTCATACTCATTCAGGTGCACACCAACGGAAACTTTTAATAGCCCGCGGAGTCGACGAGAGTCATCTGCGGGTGCAAAATGGCGCATAAAATAGTAATTGTCTCACGATTATCATCCCGCTGACGAATTTTATCACCACCTCAGTTCGGATGGGATCTTCTTTACGGCCTAGGAACTTAGCAATTTTGCGCAAAAATTAATTTGAAAATTTATTTGATTATCTCACCGTGAAAAGCTCTTAAACATTATAACGGCTGGAGGCTCGGTAAGAGGCCGACCGTTAAAGTTTATGTTATTTTGGTTCACGGAGTTTGCAGAATTCAAATTTCTTTCTTTCTGAAACGTCCAATAAGACAAATGTCCATGACCGCGTGGACTCGTTTTAATTCTGATTTTTCCTGAAGCGAGGAATTCGAGCTCACTGTTTTTAATGGAAATTCGGAACTCTTGTCTGTCACTGACCACTTGAGTTTGCACTGTTTGAAACGTTTTTCACGTTTTTTGCTCGAAATTTTGATGGGGAAATATGTATAAGGAGAAGACAAAAAAGAACAGGAAAAAGCAGGAGAAGGAGGAATAGAACAGGTAGAAGCAGAAGAAGAAAGAAAGAACACGAAGAAAGTGAAGAAAAAATAGCGAAGAACGGGGAAAAGAAAACGAAGAGAAAAAATTGAAGAAATAAAATTAGGGGGAAGAATAGGCAGAAAAAAACGAAGAAAAATAAATGAAAAAAGAAGAAAAAGAATAGGAGGAGGAAGAGGAATAAAAAAGGAAGAATAAGAAGAATTAGAGGAACACGAAGAGGAATACACTCATGCATCTTCCAGGAATTAAAAAATCCAAGAAACTCGCGCTTTGTGTACAACTTAGGGATGCCACTGTCAGAAAATACCGATAAAACCAGGAAATGCAAAGAAAATCCTAAAAATTTCAGGGAAAATGACGAAAATGTCACAGAAAAATTGTTAAGTCACCTTTAATTGCTTTCTAGAATGGGTTTAGCGTGAAGGTTTCACAGTACGCCTAAAATGCCCGCAATGCCAGGAAACTACTTCGAAGTATGACTTTTTAACCATCTGGTATATCCTCAATCGTCAGAGAGTTTTACCAAAAATGTGTCAGGGAAATCAGAGAATAGTCAAAGAAATTCATTTTCCAAAATGTAGGGCAACTCTTAAGAGTTTAATTGAACATTTAATTGTGATGAACAATGAACTTAATAACACCAACAATGATTATGAAGAAAGTTATGAAATTCATAACGCCGAAGGTGTAATATGATGAATAATAAATGCATCTTTATGTAGTGCTTCTTTCGCTTTATGACTGATTGTCAGCTTTTTCAATACTAAAATTCTTTATTATTATCATAACACCTTTAGCATTATGAATTTCTCAACCTTCCGCACACCTTTAAAAGTGTATTTTTGTGCCCCACGCGTCGCGACGGCATGGCTGTGAAACCGTACTCTAAAAAAAAATTCTCAGCGTTTTTACCAAGATTTGTTAGTACCTTCACCATCTCACTTTTTTTTACCAATTACTGGTAATATTACCAAGACAGACTGGTAAGCTTACCTAAAAACCGGCATTTTTACTTTTTTTTTCAGGTAAGAATACCACTTTTATTGGTAATCAATTCCGGTAACTTTGCCATTTTATCTCGGTAATTTCACCACAGTCGATAAAAAATATTGGCGTTTTTACCAAGGTCCAGTAAAATTACCGAGAAAGTTCAACAATTTTACCGAGACTTCTCGGTAAAATTATCAATTCCATGAATGATAATTTTACCAAGAAAAAACTGGAATCAAATAGAACCCTGAGTTCTTGGTAATTTTACCCTTTTCTTAGTAAATACACAAAGATTTTTTTTTCAGTGCGTAGCCTCGAATCCATGGTTCCCAACCTGGGGCGGGCAAGGAAGACGAGAGCGCAAGTGCAACTTAATTTCTGCCGTGCTAAGGAAAAACGCCGTATGAGCCTTCGGATGTTGCCATATTTCCTTCAGTAAAAGTCAAATTTTCCAGGAAAATTCTGAATATATTTTTTTAAATATTTCAAAAAATTTTGTTCGCAATTGAATCTAAAATATCTGAAAAATTCAAGGGAAACTATGCACAACTTTTCTCACAAATGCGCGTTCTATCGAAGGAAATTTGGCAACTCTCGAATGTTCATACGGCGTTCTTCCTTAGCACGGCAGATTTGTCGGTGAGTTTTGAGCCGGTTGGAGTCGTCGGGCGGCGCCGCTTAAAAGTTGCGAGTTAATCGGCGTCATTCTCGCGAGTCATTAAATTACCCGCCCGAATCTAATTGATGGGGGAAATTAGGTGGAAATTGCAGTTGCAGCGACAACAAAATTTGGCCGCCGTCCCGCTCCGGCTCCGGCTCCTCAAATCCAGGATAAATCCCCCGCGTAATTCCGAACCTTTTAGAGCATTTTAAGGGATCCCCCGCCCCGCCCCCACCTGCCCGCAGCCACACTTTTGTGAGGGAATTTGATTAAAGTTCTGCCCTTTGTTGCCGGGCCAGGAATCCCATATCGTCGCTCTTCTCTGCCGTGCTAACGAAGAACGCCATATGAGCCTTCAGACGTTGCCGAATTTCCATCGAAAAAACCATACTTTATTGAAAAAATTGTTAACATTCTCCCCCAAAACTTTCAGAAAATTTTGTACGCAATTTAATCTATAATATCTGAAAATTTCAAGGAAAAGTATGCTTAAATATTGTCAAAAATACATGCTTAATCAAGGAATATTTGGCAACTCTCGAATGTTCATACGGCGTTCATCCTTAGCACGGCAGCATATCGTCGCTCTTCTCTGCCGTGCTAACGAAGAACGCCGTATGCTGCCGTGCCAAGGAAGAACGCCGTATGAGCCTTCAGACGTTGCCAATTTTCCTTCGATAAAAACCGAATTTACCGGGAAAATTGTGAATATTTTTTTTCAAGATTTTCAGACAATTTTGTACGCAATTGAACCCAAAATCACTGAAAATTTCAAGGAAAAATATGCATGAATTTTGTCCAAAACACATGTTTTATAATGGGAAATTTGGCAACTCTCGAATGTTTATGCGGCGGTCTTCCTTAAAACGGCAGTATGAGCCATCAGGCGTTACCAAATTTCCTTCGACACATCACGAATTGACAGAGCAATTTGTGAATATATTTTTTCCGATTTTTCAAAGGATTTCATTCATAATTTGATCCAATAAGTCAGAAAATTGCAAGGAAAAACATGCATAACTTTCTTCAAAAATGAATATTTTCTGAGAGGAAATTTGGCAACATTTGAATGCTCATGTGACGTTTTTCCTAACCCCGGCAGTTCTGGCGTAGAGGCGTATTTCACGTTAGCCTTCTTTTACATGTAAATCCATGCTTTCTGGAACTCTTACGGATATCGAGATATGCCCTTACGTCAGAGGGACGAAAATATGTCTCATTCTGTCGTTTTCAATGCGGAAGAACGTAACTACATTTGGACCACATTTAAATCTACAATTGTTGTTTTGTTTCAGAAAAAACGTATGTGCCATTGGTTTCTCTATGTAGATCGGTGTTTTTACGGATGGGTCTAAAATTATAATCTCTCATTGCTAAATGACGTTCATTCCAACGTTGATAAAGTTTTACCAGCTATTGGGTCAAATGCGCAATTTAAAATTTAAAATCTTAATTAGTTCGATTTTTCGTGAACTGGGTAACATATTCGATCTTGATACTTTTGTTGAGCATGCTCCCTGGGTAAAAATTTTCTACCGGAAAGGATTCGACACATCATATCAAAAACGTTTTCGCAGATCGCACTACTCGACAACACTTCAAGAATGCTGAAACCACAAGAATTCCGACGTTTGTTTCGGTTGTACATGCACCTAATAATTCCTTCGAACTGTAGTAGTTGCTATCGAATACTGTGATTAAGACAGCCAGAGAGCCTGCAATTGTTTGCGTATGCAACCTAGACATCTCTAGAGCACGAATAATTACATCCAAAACTGCTACTGCAAACAACCAAAGCCTCCTAATTTGCTTTCGCTCGTGGAACCCAACTCTATCATCATATTTGATGGTATTAATTTGATAAAACACGTTGGTACTCGTTTTTCATTTGCCTCGTGTGAGAGAAGCTTGGAAGTAAAGATAAATAAATAAATAAAAATTAGGACGGCAACTTTGCCTAAAAGCTCCCCAGTGGGAAACAAGATCTCGTAATAGGAGCTCCTTTATTACCGAA